GGTGTCTGTCCCCAGGAGATGGGAGTTTTATCTACAAGCCCCTGACTGGGGCTGCGGCCTTTCATTCAGAGATAGCCTGCCCAGAGAGGAGGAATCTGGAGAGGCAGTCTGGCTACAATGGCTTTGTGGCGCTGCGGTGGGCTCCACCTGGTCTGAACTTCCTGGTAGCTTTGTTTACACTGTGAGGGGAAAACTGCCTACTCAAGCCTCATTAATGGTGGACACTCCTCCCCCATTAAGCTTGAGCATCCCAGGTTGACATCTGACTGCTGTGCTGCTAGGGAGAATTTCAAGCCAGTGGATTTTGGCTTGCTGGGCTCCATGCAGGTGGGATCTGCTGGGCAAGACCACATGGCTCCCTGTCATCAGCCCCCTTTCCAGCATGAACAGTTCTGTCTCACTGGTGTCCCATGCATCCCTGGGGTATGAAGAAAAAAAATTCCTGCAGCCAGCGCAGTGTCTGCCCTAACGACCACCCAGTTTTGTGCATGAAACCCAGGGCTCTTGTGGTGCTGTCTCTTATACACATCTAGATGTGTATAAGAGACAGTCGCCACACTGTCTTCCACAGTGGTTGAACTAATTTACACTCTCACCAACAGGGTAAATGCATTCCTATTTCTCCACATCATCTCCAGCATCTGTTGTTTCTTGACTTTTTAATGATCGCCATTCCCACTGGCATGAGACAGTATCTCATTGTGGTTTTGATTTGCATTTCTCTGATGACCAGTGATGATGAGCTTTTTTTCATATGTTTGGTGGCTGTGTAAATGTCTTCTTTTGAAAAGTGTCTGTTCATATTCTTTGCCCACTTTTTGATAGGGGGTTGTTTTTTTCTTGTAAATTTGTTTAAGTTCCTTGTAGATTCTGGATATTAGCCCTTTGTCAGATGGATAGATTGCAAAAATTTTCTCCCATTCTGTAGGTTGCCTGTTGACTGTGATGATAGTTTCTTTCACCGTGAAGAAATTCTTTAGCTTAACTAGATCCCATTTGTCAATTTTGGCTTGTATTGCAATTGCTTTTTGTGTTTCAGACATGAAATCTTTGCCCATACCTATGTCCTTAATGGTATTGCCTAGGTTTTCTTCTAGGGTTTTTATAGTTTTAAGTCTAACATTTAAGTCTTTAATCCATCTTGAATTAATTTTTGTATAAAGTGTAAGAAAAAGGTACAGTTTCAGTTTTCTGCATATGGCTAGCCTGTTGTCCCAACAACATTTATTAAATAGGGAATTCTTTCCCTGTTGCTTGTTTGTGTCAGATTTGTCAAAGATCAGATGGTTGAAGATGTGTGGTGTTATTTCTGAGGCCTCTCTTCTGTTCTATTGGTTTATATCTCTGTTTCAATACTAGTGTCATGCTGTTTTGGCTATTGTAGCCTTGTAGTATAGTTTGAAGTCAGGTAGCATGATGCCTCCAGCTTTGTTCTTTTTGCTTAGGATTGTCTTGGCAATGTGGGCTCTTTTTAGGTTCCGTATGAACTTTAAAGTAGTTTTTTTCTAATTCTGTGAAGAAAGTCAATGCTAGCTTGATGGGAATACCATTGAATCTACAAATTACTTTGGGCAGTATGGCCATTTTCATGACATTGATTCTTCCTATCCATGAGCATGGAATATTTTCCCATTTGTTTATGTCCTCTCTTATTGCATTGAGAAGTGGTTTATAGTCCTCCTTGAAGAGGTCCTTCATATCCCTTGTAAGTTGTATTCTTAGGTATTTTATTCTCTTTGTAGCAATTGTGAATCAGGGTTTGCTCATGATTTGGCTCTCTTTTTGTTTATTATTGGTGTATAGGAATGCTTGTGATTTTTGCACATTAATTTTGTGTCCTGAGACTGCTGAAGTTGCCTATCAGCTTAAGGAGTTTTTGGGCTGAGATGATGGGGTTTTAAAAATATACAATTCTGTCACCTTCATACAGAGATAATTTGACTTCCTCTCTTCCTATTTGAATACACTTTATTTCTTTCTCTTTCCTAACTACCCTGGCCAGAACTTGCAATACTTTGTTGAATAGGAGTGATGAGAGAGGGCATCCTTGTCTCATGCTGGGCTTCAAAGGGAATGCTTCCAGCTTTTGCCCATTTAGTATATTGGCTGTGGGTTTGTCATAAATAGCTCTTATTATTTTGAGATATGTTCCATCAATATCTAGTTTATTGAATGTTGTTAGCATGAAAGGATGATGAATTTTATCAAAGGCTTTTTCTGCATCTATTGAGATAATCACGTGGTTTTTGTCATTGGTTCTGTTTATGTGGTGGATTACATCTATTGATTTGTGTATGTTGAACCAGCCTTGCATCCCAGGGATGAAGTCAGCTTAATCATGGTGGATACACTTTTTGATGTGCTGCTGGATTTGGTTTGCCAGTATTTTAACGAGGATTTTTACATCGATGTTCATCAGGGATATTGGCCTGAAATTTTCTTTTTTTTTGAGTCTTTGTCAGATTTTGGTATCAGGATGATGCTGGCCTCATAAAATGAGTGATGGAGGAGTCCCTCTTTTTCTATTGTTTAGAAAAATTTCAGAAGGAATGGTGCCAGCTCCTCCTTGTATCTCTGGTAAAATTTGCCTGTAAATCCATCTGATCCTGGACTGTTTTTGATTGGTAGGTTATTAATTACTGCCTCAATTTCAGAACTTGTTATCAGTCTATTCAGGGATTCAACTTCTTCCTGGTTTAGTCTTGGGAGGGTGTATGTGTCCAGGAATGTATCCATTTCTTCTAGATTTTCTAGTTTATTTGCATAGAGGTGTTCATAGTATTCTCTGATGGTAGTTTGTATTTCTGTAGGATCAGTGGTGATCTCCCCTTTATCATTTTTTATTGTGTCTATTTGATTCTTCTCTCTTTTCTTCTTTATTAGTCTGGCTAGCAGTCTATCTCTTTTGTTAATCTTTGCAAAATTCCTGCTACTGGATTCTTTGATTTTTTGAAGGATTTTTCGTGTCTCTGTTACCTTCTGTTATGCTCTGATCTTAGTTATTTCTGGTCATCTGTTAGCTTTTAAATTTGTTTGCTTTTGCTTCTCTAGTTCTTTCAATTGTGATGTTAGGGTGTCAATTTTAGATCTTTCCTTCTTTCTCCTGTGGGCATTTAGTGCTATAAATTTCTCTCTAAACAGTGCTTTAGCTGTGTCCCAGAGATTCTGGTATCTTGTGTCTTTGTTCTCATTGGTTTCAAATAACTGATTTATTTCTGCCTTAATTTATTTATTTACCCAGTAGTCATTCAGAGTCATGTTGTTCAGTTTCCATATAGTTGTGCGGTTTTACGTGAGTTTCTTAATCCTGAGTTCTAATTTGATTTCACTGTGGTCTGAGGGACTGTTTGTTATGATTTCCACTCTTTTGCATTTGCTGAGGAGTGTTTCACTTCCAATTATGTGGTCAATTTTAGAATAAGTTCTATGTGGTGCTGAGAAGAATATATATTCTGTTGACTTGGGGTGGAGAGTTCTGTAGATGTCTATTAGGTCTACTTGGTCCAGAGCTGAGTTCAAGTCCTGAATATCCTTGTTAATTTTCTGTCTCGTTGATCTGTCTAATATTGACAGTGGGGTGTTAAGGTTTCCCACTAGTATTATGTGGGAGTCTAAGTGTCTTTGTAC